CTATCATTTGGTATTTGGCGTCTGTTTTCAAGGTTTCAAATGAAATGGTTTTGTTGAACCGATGGTCGGGTTTCAAACACGAGGCCGAGGGGTTACGGCTGTCCACCGGTATGTCTGCGATCAAGAGTTTAGACATTTTTGTGGTGATCTCTGTAGTGACGATCGCACCGTTTTGTCCCGCATATATACCGCTTCCAACAGTGCCTTTATTTTTACATCAATGTTATTGTATTGATTGCATCAAAAATAGACTACTTTTCTACATTGTAAAATACTTACCCATTTGAGGCTCTAAAAGATTAGCGGCCAATAGATTGACTCGATTGGCCACAGCCCAGCTCTCCTGGACCTGTTTGGCTGACTGTAGTGGCAGCTCATCGAACCAATCCGTCGGGAATAACATTGTTTGCACACCATTTTTGGCCACATTTTGAGTGCCGGGGGTTTTGTACGATATATCCGCACATATTTGTAAACCCATTCGACCAAAAGGTGTGTCAAAGTATGCGTATTCCGCTTCAGAGGGAGTGTCGTATTCAAACTCATAGTAGAGGTGCGTTTTGTGATACTTGGCCACAATCGCACCGTTCGGGTCAAAGGCCACGGCTGAGTCGTGCATATAGTGGCCATCTTTGGGACACTTGGGGTCAAAAGTTATGTTACATTGATAGCGATCGCCATAACCGGCCACTATATAGATGTGGGTCTGTTTGGCCAAACAGCTCAACGCGAGTGTCGCGGGAATAGACTTGTACTCCAAGGGCTTAGCGCACGGATTATGCGATCCATGTCTCGGATCGGGAATTGTTTCGGTATATGCGGACACAGTTTTGCGTGAAGTCATGGGATCTATGAGACCGTATTCGGGAAATACCAGAATATTTGCCCCCTATTTATAATAAATTATATTATTTATAGGTTAGGTATTGAATAATAACATGTGTTTAAATATAAAGTATATATGTTTATTGTCTAACATTTTCCGAGGCTTTGATAGCCATCTGTTTGTAGACATTTAGGTTCTTCTGGATTACAAGGGATGACTCTTCGTGTCGGTGTCCCTGAGGTATGTGTTCAAAGACCGCGGCTCTAAAGCAGTCACTCTTTGGCTCACAATTTGCCAAAAATGAGTGAAAGATTAATACAAACCCAATAAATACGACAACATTGTTGTTCAAAGTGTACGACATTTTTGTTTGTTTGTAATTTAAAACGTTTGAAGTGTAATATTATTGACAGCAAACGTGAAATTAACTAATTTTAATATGTTATAAGCGGCAAATTAATATTATAAATAAATGTGATTATTAAATAAATAATAGTTTAATAAAAGATATATTAATAATTGTTTAATATGATTATTATGTATTTTTTGTAACACATTTTCTAGTTTTAAATCAATACAACAGTAGAATTAAAGGCAACACACATACTTTGTGGCTTCCCATAAATACATGACTAGAATTACTAAAATACGCTTGATCATTATTTAAATTTAATTATATTTTAAATATTTAACAATTAAATACAGAATGTAAACACAATTCAATTATAGTTCTAAAGGCTGGTCGCGATTAAAACACCGGCCGTACAAACCCATAGCCAGCAGTGGTTTGTTGTAATTGTTTAACTCAAGACTCACTTCTGAGCCATTGATTTGTTGTTGATTCTCGTAAACCCAATACTGTTTGGGAACTAATGCCAAGTCATTAGTCGTGAGACTCGGAAACGTTGTGTTAGTACTGAACGTAGCGCTCAGTCGAAGCCATTTGAATACAGTTTGATGTGAAGTATGGGTCGGGAAAGACTCGCACCGGTCGTCAACGCACCGAAAGACGGCGCAAATCTCGGTACACACGGGATATACTAAAACGATTGGACGACCGATAGTAGTGTTGCCCACAAACCACCAAAACGACTGTCCCTTCAGGTCGTCAACCGATTTGAGCGAATAGTTTAGATGACAACAGAAACCGGAGTCACAGACCACTGATGAGCCCTCAATAGCAGTCAATTTGTTCAATGAATGCCCTTTTGTGTACATTTTGTCTATCATTTGGTATTTGGCGTCTGTTTTCAAGGTTTCAAATGAAATGGTTTTGTTGAACCGATGGTCGGGTTTCAAACACGAGGCCGAGGGGTTACGGCTGTCCACCGGTATGNGAGAGAGAGAGAGAGAGAGAGAGAGAGAGAGAGCAAATGTGAGGATTGCCAGACGTAATTTTATATAAAATTCAAGTATTAAACTTTAAGTTAACACATTGTGTATTGTTGCGTAAATTAAATCTAGATTATTATTTAAAAATTAAACTAATCAAAATTGTATTTCAATATAAACTAACGAGATGCACGTGATTAAAATTAACTAATAAAAACGCTAATTATATTATTTTATTAACAGTTCCTTTTACAATGTTATCAAAAGTATAATTTATCCAAAATATTTCATTAGATTGATTGCGTTAAAAGTATAAACATAATAAACATTAATTATTAAACATTTATAGTTCTAAAGGCAGGTCACGATTGAAACACCGGCCGTACAAACTCATAGCCAGCAGTGGTTTGTCGTAATTGTTTAACTCGAGCCTCACTTCTGAGCCATTGATTTGTTGCCGATTTTCGTAAACCCAATACTGTTTGGGAACTAATGCCAAGTCATTAGTCGTGAGACTCGGATAAGTAATGTTAGTACTGAATGTAGCGCTCAGTCGAAGCCATTTAAATACAGTTTGATATGAAGTATGGGTCGGGAAAGACTCGCACCGGTCGTCAACGCACCGGAAGACGGCGCAAATCTCGACACACCAGGGATAGACCAAAACGATTGGACGACCGATAGTAGTGTTGCCCACAAACCACCAAAACGACTGTCCCTTCAGGTCGTCAACCGATTTGAGCGAATAGTTTAGATGACAACAGAAACCGGAGTCACAGACCACTGATGAGCCCTCACTCGCAGTCAATTTGTTCAATGAATGCCCTTTTGTGTACATTTTGTCTATCATTTGGTATTTGGCGTCTGTTTTCAAGGTTTCAAATGAAATGGTTTTGTTGAACCGATGGTCGGGTTTCAAACACGAGGCCGAGGGGTTACGGCTGTCCACCGGTATGTCTGCGATCAAGAGCTTAGACGTTTTTGTGGTGATGTTTGTGGAGACGAATGCACCGTTTTGTCCCGCATATATACCGCTTCCGAGGGTACCTTTATTTTTACATCAATATCATTGTATTTATTGCATCAAAAATAGACTACTTTTTTAAAATGCTTACCCATTTGGGGGTCTAAAAGATTGGCGGCCAATAGGTTGACCCGATTGGCCACAGCCCAGCTCTCCTGGACCTGTTTGGCCGACTGTAGTGGCAGCTCATCGAACCAATCCGTCGGGAATAACATTGTTTGCACACCATATTTGGCCACATTCTTAATGCCGGGGTTTTTGAACCATATATCAAAACATATCTGTAAACCCATTCGACCAAAAGGTGTGTCAAAGTACACAAACTCCTGTGGAGGGGGAGTCTCGTATTCAAACTCAAACCATGTGTGTGATTTGTGATACTTGGCCACAATTGCGCCGTTCGGGTCAAATGCCACGGCTGTGTCGTGCATATAGTGGCCATCTTTGGGACACTTGGGGTCCGAAGTGATGTTGCATTGATAGCGATCGCCATAATCGGCCACAATATACATGTGGGTCTCTTTGGCCAAACAGCTCAACGCAAGTGTCGCGGGAATAGACTTGTACTCCAAAGGCTTAGCGCATGGATTATGCGATCCATGTCTTGGATCGGGAATTGTTTCGGTAAATGCGGCCACAGTTTTGCGTCCAATCATGGGATCTATTAGACAGTATTCGGGAAACACCAGAATATTTGCCCCCTATTTATGATAAATTATATAATTAATAAATTAAATTTAAATAATACCATGTGTTTAATTATATTGTCATACATTTTCAGAGGCTTTGATAGCGGCCTGTTTGATGACATTGAGGTTCTTCTGGATTATAATGGATGGCTCATCAGTGGATGGGTTTCCCTGAAGTATGTGTTCAAAGACCGCGGCTCTAAAGCAGTCACTCTTTGGCTCACAATTTGCTGAAAATGACTGAAATATTAATACAAACCCAATAAACAACACAATATTGTTGTTTAAAGTGTACGACATTTTTGTTTGTTTGTAATTTAAAACGATTGATATGTAATACTATTGACAGCAAAAGTGTAATTAACTAATTTTGATATCATATGATATGTGATGAGCGGCAAATTTGTATTATAAATAAATGTGATTATTAAATAAATAATAGCTCAATAAAAGATATAATATTATATAAATTTTTATAATAAATTATTATTAATAATTGTTTAATATAATTATTATGCATTTATTGTAACACATTTTCAGTTTTGAATCAATACAACCGTATAATTGGACGTAAAAAACATTATCAATTTAAATCATGTATTAATTATAATTTCGATTACTTTGAAAGTAAAATCTAAATTACTATAATACTAACCGAAACAAACGGTACCTGCTTTAATAAATGTGCAATATAAATTTCTTTGTATTGAACCCGTTTCCCGGCCCTCGTCAGCAATTTTCGGGTCGTTTTCTATCTCTTCATCCTAAATAAAAATGTAAATATTATTTATGAGTTTTTAAATACTGTATAAACACAGTCCTATAAAGTAAACACAACATATGGGACAAATTGACCTCACTCTTAACATTCTAAATATAATATTCATCGTATTGTCTTAAGTTTATATTGTTATTATTAAAATTAATATATTTTATTATATAAAATTTGCTACAACAAATATTTTTGTTAATAATATTAACAAAATAAATAAAAATAACAAAATTTATTAAAATAATTTACAAAATATTACCCTTAACCTAAACCAATTAATTAAACAATTTGCAATCACAATTTTGTGTCAAATATTGTATCACTAGAACTGCTGACCCGATCCCTGTTCTCGTCGTCGACTTCTAAGGTATCAAATCTCTTAAGATGTGATTCTTTAGCCATATTTAGTAAATGATTGAACATATGTTTCCCAGTCTTGCGGCACATGTCATACAAAGACCGATTCCGTTGTGAATGTCTATCAAAACAGTGGCGAAGACTCGTATATAAAAGACAATTGACTTTAATTAATAACAAAAACTTGTATAATGTATTACCAATTAATTTTTGGATTCAACACAGAATCTCCCCAATACTTACAAAGTGTACAAACATTACACATGTTTTCAATAATGATTACAACAGAAGAATGTCTTTACAGTTAAAGGATTCGTTCATTGATTTGCTTACAAAACAATGCAATCGTTTGACAGACATTTGGTTCGGTGTTTCCAACAATAGAGTCCAAACTATGGACACGTTTTTCGCAAAGTTTGCCAAACAATTGAAATCGATAACAATTTTCGGTATTCATAACACTGTTAGCTATAAATGGCTGGAAATGTGTGTGAATTTGACGTCAATTTACATACATTTGAATGATTTATCGAAAACACGGCTCGTATTGAGTGCTGACAACGGTTTGCATTACAAACGACTCAAAAGTATTGAGTTTGAAATTAATGGTATGAATGTTATCCCCAATGATTTGACAGCATTTGAATTGTTTGCTCACAATTACGGCCACAATATTAAGTCAATTGAATTCATATTGTGTTCAGTTTTTGAGGATAATGTGGTTAACAGACTATCGGATAGTTTGTCACAAATGCTGGCATTAATTGCATTCAAAATGAATTTTGCATTATTACGGCTCAACGTATTGACACAAATTGGTCTTAAATGCCCACAACTCAAGAGTCTGTGCATTGAAATCAACGGCACGTCTCTTCCCGAAGAACTGATTCAAACAATTAGTGATAATTTTAAACTATTAAAGCGTTTGGAAATAAAGGGTTCATTAAAGGCTGGATTTCTACCGACGAGTGAATCAATTAAATCATTGAAACGATTAACACATTTGAAGCTATGGTTTGAACGAATTTATCACTTAAATAATGAATCGGAAATTAATATAACCGACACTTTCTTCGCTAATATTGACCACAATTTGCCACAACTTCTGGATCTGAGACTCAATGGAGTGATAATAACGGATGAAGTGTTGAATGCATTGTCAAGACTGACACAAATCCGTTGCATTCAACTCATGGGCACTAATAATACCACACGATTTGCTGTCAATAACTTCTTCACTAATTGTCCCAAAATTAATCTTCAATTGAAAGATACGGATCACATCTCACAGCCAGTGATTTGATTAAAACAATATTTTTATAAATCTTATGTTAAAATATTCAATATTTTTATTTTAATGAATTATTACTGAATTAATTTTACTTCAATTAATGACCATTTTTCCCACAAAATGTTTTAAAACTACAATTAATTAATAATGACTTTATTATAATTTATACATAATATTTGTGCTTTAAATTGTATTTCACACACATTTACCACTCATTTATTTTAATTATAAACATTTATTTCATGATAAATGAAAAATTTCGCATTTTATTTCTTATGTATTTTATTTTCATATTTCTTATGAATATAATTGTTTGACATTAAGTACTATCAAACAAATTAAACACAAATTTAGTGCCACTTGACAATTACTTATGCTTATTATTGTGTTATATATAACTAATTCTGTATTTAATTATTATAATTAATAAATGCAATCAATTATTTAATTCATTAAACTTTTTGGGTTTAATATTATATTTTCACACATTATTAATAGACAACACATAACACATGCGCTCAGGTTTTGTTGAGTCAACAAAAGTTAATTGAATGAAAAGCACATGTCTTTTGATTGAAGTATTGATTTAATTGTTGTATTAATTATTTGTTTCAATCATTTTGTGTCTAAAAAATGGCACAAATCTATAGCAAAGACTCTTTCGATAGATTTGGAGACGACTTATGCCAAGAGTTGTTGTCTTTCCTCACATTTGAAGACCGATTCCGTTGTGAATGTCTATCAAAACAGTGGCGAAGACTTGTATTCAATACACAAACGGATATTAAATACAATGAATCTAATAAATGGCCGAAATTGTCATCATTTGAGTTGATATTAATAAAATGTCAAAATATCATACATTTTAATGCCTTGTCTTCTCTTACAACGGATCCAAATCTGGAATTAATTATAAAACATTGCCATAAATTGCAATCAATTTCTATCAATTGCAAGAAACTTAGTGTTGAAATGATTGATAGATTTTTTGCAAAGTTTGCTAAACAACTAAAATCAATGAATTGTCACACAAATAATGATCAGTTAATACAGACATCACTCGTGAAGAATATGAAGAATTGCCAGAATTTGCTTCACTTTAAGATCTATTACTGTGAAAATCATTTACTTTCACATGTGATGATTGATGAAAATGAAGTTTACTTTAAAAATATGATTGATTTTCAATTCATTTATAGACTCGAAGACACGACAAGATTTGATACTTTTGTTGATTACTATAGAAATAGATTGAAATCAATTGATATACAGATCGACTACTCGTGTGACGAGAAGTCAATTGTGATATTACTGAAAGGATTGACACAAATGAAGGAAATGAGAAAATTATATTTTTCATTGACTCGTTATTGGATGAAAATCTCGGCATTGAATGCAATGAAACAAATTGGTGTCAATTGTCGTAAACTACGGGAATTATGTTTTCAAACATTAGGCGATCCGTCGTATATAATGTCGGATATTATCAATCAATGCTTCCCACAAATACAACGATTGAAGATAAGAACAATTTTGAACGATAATCCTATCTTAAAAAGTGAATTATTGTCTGAATGCAAACGATTAACACATTTACAAATTGGATTAGCTATTAGTCACACAATTGGCGCCGATTTCTTCACTGATATCGACAAACATTTACCAAAACTGAGAAATATTTCCATCTCTACGGCAGAACTCACTGAAGAGGCCATCAATTGTTTGTCACAATTAAAACGTTTAACAAAAGTTTTTATTCAAACCAATATTATAGACACAGAGTTTCATGAATTATGTGAACAACAATTGCTTAACAATTGCCCGAAACTGACTGCAAATCGTTGTCGTATTATTTGTAACACAAATTAATTTTTGTATTTTTATTATTGATATAAGAAGGAAATTAATAAATTATTGTTAACATAATTAAAATATGTTATATTCTTCTCAATATAACATAATTGTTTTAATACTGAGATTGATGTGTAAACTAATATTATAAATGTTTAATTTAATCGCATAATTAATATAAAGTACTGCTTATTATTGATCTGTTTTCTATGAAATTTATTTGTTTTTATCAATTATTAATTATTTGATTTCTATAATAAGTTGATGTCTATGTTTTGCGTGCAATAAAGCGCTGACACATAGGAATCAATGCATAAACTATACGATTACTTGTGATTGAGATTCTTTACGATAAGAATATTCGTGTTGTCGACGAATTAAATGTAATAAATGCTATTATTTGAAACAAAATACCATTAATTTATTAAAATTCATAGTTTATTATTTGAAATTTGCAACGAGAAAAATATTTTGGTTATGAAATCCATAGAAATATTAAAAATCACAAAATTTATTAAAATGTTTAAAATATTTTTAAATGTTATTATCAAAGGCGACAAACCATGTCTTCGTCGTTGACTTGTGTTGTATTAAATCTCTTAAAATGTGATTCTTTAGCCATATTTAGTAAATGACAAAACATATCTTCGCCAGTCTTGCGGCACATGTCATACAACTGTCCTTTTCGTTGCAGTAAAACAAACGGGTCGTCAAACTCTATGATCTCTCCCGCGTCCAACACCTGATCACGTGATATATAAATCATTTCATAATTAGTTATGAATTATAAGTTATAATTAATTTAAAATAAGATTAAAATACAGACCAAAACGCGATCGCAATCTATAATAGTGTTGAGTCTGTGAGCGATCGTAAGGACAGTACAGTCACTGAATTTGTGACGAATTGTGGTCTGAATTAAGGCATCAGTTTTGTGGTCAACATTAGCGGTCGCCTCGTCCAGCACTGGTACCCTATTGTGCCGCAGTATAGCCCGCGCCAGACATACCAACTGCCTCTGACCTACACTCAGATTAGCGCCCCCTTCGGCCAACTGGGCGTCCAACTGGCCCGGGAGGTCCCCCACCGCCCCCTTCAGCTGCACCTCTTCTAAGGCACTCCATATCCTT